TTTCTGCAAAATTGGGCCTCCTGTTACAATTTAAACTCTGATAGTTTTCTGGTTCTATCTGTAGTGAGTCAGCATCTGTTCAGAGATGGAGATGAGAAAGGATAATATCACCATCTGTTGGAACAGAAGAGTCCTTGTTAAAAGTGAAACAACATGAACAACACTGATTCATACAATAAGACAGTTGCTTGTTTAGCTCAGTTGGCAGGATGGTCAGTTGATGCAAAATAATGCCAATAGCATGGATCCAATTCCTATACCAGCTGAGGTTACCATGAAGGAGTCTCTTTCTCAACACTTTCACTGGCTTGAGGCACGGTGAGACTCAAGTTAAACCACCACCAGTCGTCTCTCTCTGTGACAGCAACCCTATGGTCTGGTAAGACTATGGTAACCTCACTTTCTTTTTACAAACAATGTTTTTCACATTGTAAGGAATAGGAAGCCAATTGTATATTTAATCATTGTGCAGGAAAGAAAGTCAAGAAATCTTACAACAGAGATGAAGGTTGATCTGCCCACCATGCCTTTGCCACTTCTTTGCAAGAAATGTTCAATTAGTTTCACATCCACCCTATTTCCCAAATGTATCCCTTTCTACAGAAATTTACAGCACAGAAGGAGCCTATTCAGCTTGAAGTACCCATGTGAGTTCTTTGAAAGGGCAGTCAGGCTTAGTCCCCACTTTTTGTCTGTAATCCTGAGAGTTCCTCATCTTCAATTATGTGTCTGATTTTTCTCAAAATTATTTATGAATTCACATTCCACCAACTTTTCAGGGAAAATGTGCCAGATCCTGATAACTTTTAGTCAAAAGAAAGTCTTCTTATCTTCCGTCTAAATCATTTGCCAATGATTTGAATCTAAAATCTTTTGTTTTTTGACTCACTTTGGGGAGGGAATATTTTCTCCACCCTATGAAAACATCACATCAGCTTGAAAACCTTTTAACTTTATTTGTTCCAGGAAAAATAGTGTTAATTTTAGAAATCTCTGCTCATGGGCAGTGGTCGCTGGTAACATCTTGGTAAACTTGCAGTCCTGAAAGTTAGAATTGTCCACAATTCTCTAGCTGAAGGCATAGCCATCAACAACAACTCTCCCAAATCGTCCTAAAAACCATCAATGGTTGAAGTCATACCCAGCAAAATGGGAGATGGTTGTGGTTGTTGTAAGCTATCGAAACCACAATACATCACTGCCATAATTCCTCAGGGTAGTGTCCTATGCCCAACCATCTTTATCTGCTTCATTTGTGACCTTCCCTATGACTTGAGATCATACGATCAGAAGGGGGGATATTCACTGATGATTGCATATCTTCATCACCAGTCACAGTTCCTCATATACTGAAACAGTCCATATATCTATATAATGGAGCCAAAGCTGGATAACACTGAGGCTTGGACTGCTAAATGGCAAGTAACATTTTCATCATACAAGTGCCAAGTAATAACCTTTTTCAACAAGAGAGAATCTAACCTCACTACTATACCCTCCTCCCTACACCATCTGTGACATTCAATGGTGTTACTATTACTGGGGTTTACCAATGGCAGAAATGTAACTGGACCAGTAATACAAATATGTGGCCACAAAAGCAGACTAGAGGTTGAGAATTCTGACCTGCCAAAACATGTCCAGAATCTACAAGACACAAGTCAAGAGCCTGATGAAATATTTACCACTTGCCTGGATGAATGCACCTCCAGCAACATACAATAAAGTCACCAATATCCAGTACAAAGCAGTCCAATTAATTAGCACCTCGTCTTTAACAATTCAATTCCTGCACCACCAATGCACAGTGCAAATAGTATGTGCCATTTCTATGATTCACTAATAGAACTTACCATGTTTCCTTTAACAGCACCTTCTAAAGCTATGATCTCAAGAAGGTCAAATACAGCAGATACATGGGAACGCTGCCACATGCAAGTTCTCCCACAAGCTTCACACCATTTTAACTTGGCGCTACATTGCTGTCCCTTCACTATTTCTGGGTCCAAATCTTGGAATTGTCTCCCCATCAGCACTCATAGAATCCCGACAGTGTGGAAACGGCCATTCGGCTCAACAAGTCCACACTGCCCCTCCGAAGAGAATCCCACCCTGACCCATTCCCCTACCCCACTCCTACCCCTACATTTCACTTGTCTAACCCACCTAACCTAAACACCCCTGGACACTATGGGCAATTTAGCATGGCCAATCCACCTATCGCGCACATCTTTGGACTGTGGGAGGAAACCGGAGCACCTGGAGGAAACCCAAACAGACATGGAGAGAATATGCAAACTCCACGTAGACAGTTGCCCAAGGGTGGAATCGAACCTGGGTCCCTAGTGCTGTGAGGCAGCAGTGCTAACCACTGAGCCACTGTGCCGCCCGCACTGTAGGTACAAATCATGGATTGCAGCAGTATAAGAAGGCAGCTCAATGCCAACTTCTCAAGGGCAGTTGGGGCTGGGCAACGAGTACTATATTTAGTTATTTTTTACTTCCTCTTCTATGGAGCTGGAGCACCTCAGGTTTAGAAGCAGAGTGCAGTAATATGGGTCAGAAGTCAGAAGGTAGGATAAACCAGCTGAAGACACCGGATTGGGGTGGGGAGAGAAAGGATTAAACAATAGGGGGAGATAGAGCCTACAGACACAGAAGAGCAAACAACTGGGCAAAGTGATGGATAAGAATAGAAATTGATAGAAAAGCTCAGCTGGTCTGGCAGCATCTGTGGAGAAAATCAGAGTTAATGTTTCCGGTAACCCTTCCTCAGAACTCACCTGAGGAAGGGTCACTCGATCTGAAACATTAACTCTGATTCTCTCCACAGATGCTGCCAGAACCGCTGAGCTTTTCCAGCAATTTCTATTTTTGTCTTTGATTCACGGCACCCGCAGTTCTTTTAGTTTTTAAAGGGATGGATAATTGTGAGCCAGGGAGAAAGAAGAAATAACTGCTAATGAAGTGAAAATTAATGGGTGAAAATGAATTGGATTTCATGAAGGCTGCCCATATGATGACAGGACCTGGGGTGTGGAGCTGGGCAAAGTGCATGGAAGAAGGTGTTCAGGCCCTAAAATTATTGAACTTGATATTGAGTCCCAGAGGCTGCAGGGTCCCCAAGCAGAAAATAAGATGGAGGAACACAGCAGGCCAGTTAGCATCAGAGGTGCAGGCAAGTTGACGTTGGGAAAAGAAGAAGGGTCCCGACCCAAAACGTCAACTTTCCAGTTCCTCTGATGCTGCCTGGCCTGCTGTGTTCTTCCAGCTCCAAAGTGTGTTTATGTCTGACTCCAGAATCTGCAGTTCTTACTATCTCCCAGAAAATAAAGATGCTTGTGCTGAGCCTCACTGGAGCCTGTGGAGCAAGTGGGCTTATCTTCCCTGGCGTGTCCCCAGGCAGTTGAATCTTGTCCAAACTTCACATGGCGTGTTGAAACCTGACATTTCAACCTGAAATGTGGTTGATGATGCCCCTTGTCTACCGAGCTGCTGCTGTCTGTCTGTCTCTCTCTCTCTCTCTGGGCTCCAACTCCACTTTTTTGTTCACTCCTTTACTCCCATTCCCTGTCTTCAATGCACATCTTCTCCTAGCTACAACCAGTTCGGAGGAAGGGTCACTCGACCCGAAACGTCCACCCTGCTTTCTTTCCACGGATGCTGATGAGTTTTTCCAGCGATTTCCGTTTTTGTTTCAGATCTTCGGCGTCCGATCTTCTTCGTTTCTTATTGCCGGCGGTGGTGGGGGTGGAGGGGGAACGACTCTCCCAATTGTCCTCGTTTTTCAAGGACCGTAACTTCCCCTCCTCGGTGGTCGAGAACGCCCTCAACCGTGTCTCCCACATCTCCCGCACCTCATCCCTCACACCCCGTCCACGCAATAAAAACCAAAAAAGAATCCCCCTCGTCCTCACGTACCACCTCACCAACCTCCGGATCCAACGCATCATCCTCCGACACTTCCGCCATCTGCAATCCGACCCCACCACCAAAGACATCTTTCCCTCCCCACCTTTATCTGCTTTCCGGAGGGACAACTCTCTCCGTGACTCCCTTGTCCGCTCCACACTCCCCTCCAGCTCCACCACACCCGGCACTTTTCCCTGCAACCGCAGGAAGTGCTACACCTGCCCCCATACCTCCTCCCTCACCCCCATCCCAGGCCCCAAGAAGACTTTCCACATCAAGCAGATGTTCACCTGCACATCTGCCAATGTGGTATACTGCATCCGCTGTACCCGGTGTGGCTTCCTCTACATCGGGGAAACCAAGCGGAGACTCGGGGACCGCTTTGCAGAACACTTACGCTCGGTTCGCAACAAACAACTGCACCTCCCAGTCGCGAACCATTTCAACTCCCCCTCCCATTCCTCAGACGACATGTCCATCCTGGGCCTCCTGCAGTGCCACAACGATGCCACCCGAAGGTTGCAGGAACAGCAACTCATATTCCGCTTGGGAACCCTGCAGCCCAATGGTATCAATGTGGATTTCACAAGTTTCAAAATCTCCCCTCCCCCCACCGCATCCCAAAACCAGTCCAACTCGTCCCTGCCTCCCTAACCTGTTCTTCCTCCCACCTATCCCCTCCTCCCACCTCAAGCCGCACCTCCATCTCCTACCGACCAACCTCATCCCGCCCCCTTGACCTGTCCGTCCTCCCTGGACTGACCTATCCCTTTCCTAACTCCCTACCTACACTCACCTTTCCTGGCCCCATCCCCGCCTCTTCGACCTGTTTGTTTCCTCTCCACCTATCCTCTCCTCTATCCCTCTTCTATCCGCCTCCCACTCTCTCCCTATTTATTTCAAAACCCCCTTCCCCTCCCCCTTTTCTGATGAAGGGTCGAGGCCCGAAACGTCAGCCTCTCTGCTCCTATGATGCTGCTTGGCCTGCTGTGTTCATCCAGCCCTGCACCTTGTTGTCTCGGACTCTCCCAATTTGCCTTGATTGCGCGATTTCGAGATTTTGTTGTTTGACAGTCCGAACACGCCGTCGCTGTCAGGCTGACGTGTGTTTCACGCGACGGAAAGTCCTCAAAAAACAAAACCGGAGGATGGAGAGAGCGTGAAACTGGGTGACATAGAGAGAGAGAGACCGGGGGGGAGAAATAGAGAGAGAGAGAGAGAGAGAGACTAAGAAGAATCGGGGGATAGAGAGAAAGAGTGTGAAACCGGGGCAGAGAGAGAGAGAGACGGAAAGCCCCAAGGCAGACGTGGGCTCTGGACATGGCCACCGAGTTAAGCGGGTGGCTGAACCCGGCGGACATTGACATTGGCAGCGGGTCCTGGGACCTGGACCGGGACTTGGGTAAGTGCTCGATGATTTTGCCCGATCGTTAACCTGTCCAAGTTACCCCGAAGTCTCCTTACGTATTGCTCACAGCCCATTTAGGCTTGCATCATTCACAGTGTCGGAATTATGACATTGGGTTTCCAACTTCAGACCGTTGCTATATAATTGTGAACAGCTGGAACGCAAGTACTGACATCCCACTGGTCACAGCCTGCCGAAGTAAGAATGCCCCTTTATTCCTACTGTCTTATTTCTGTCTGTTAGCCGCTATTTAATCCATGCCAGTACATTATATCCCATTCTGTGTACTTTAATTTTTCAAAGCAGACTCCTGTGGGGGACGTTATCAAAAGTTTTCTGGAAGTTTAAGTATACTCGGTCCATCAACTCTCATATTATTTTTGTTAGTGCTGTCTTAAAAAGTTATCAGACATAATTTCCGGTGGCAAATCCATGCTGAGTGTGCCCAATCAGATCGCTATCAACTAGGGTGTCTATTTATCCCATCGTTTAAGATGCATTCTAGCAATTTCCCTATGACTGATGTAAGGCTAACAGGTCTGTAGTTCCTTGTATTCTCTCTCACTCCCTTTTTAAATAGTGGGGTGATATTTGTCACTGTTAACTCTGCAGTTGTCATTCCGAATCTACAGAATGATGCATCAACTATTTCTACGGCTACCCCGTTCAACACTCCAGAGTGTGGGCCATCAGGTCCTGAGGATTGATCAACTGTCAGCCCGTTGACACCTCCAATAAAATCTTCTTACTGATGCTCATGTCCTTCAATTTCTTCTCTCTAGCCACTTTCATCTCTAGTTCTGGGAGATTGAATCTTCCTCAATGAAAACAGACACAAAGTAATCATTCAGCTTTGCTGCCATTTCTGTATTTGCTATTATAAATTCTCATGACTCTACCTGCAATGAATCCACATGAACTCAGCCAAACATACCTATAGAGGGCTAATTGCGTATATATCCTGTTCTCCCTTTCCTTTTCAATTTTTTTGGTCTTTTATTATATTTTATAAATCTCCAGAATTACTGCTATATCTGGCAACTTTATAGGCCCTTTTCTTTTACTCCTGAGTAATGTACAAATACCATTCCTTGTGAACACAATTTAACCTCATTTTCCTTCTTTTCTATCCTTCCTGAATGTCAAATATCCTTGAACGCTCACTTCTCAGTCCTGGTTATCGCACAGCCATATTTCTATGATGACAACTCTGTCATAACCATCTACCTTGTTGCAAATGCTGTATGCATTCAGGTAGCATGCCTTTAACTTTGTCTTTTTGACCTCATTCACTTTTGAAGCATACTTGGCACTTGGCTTTGTTTCTCTTCTCTTCAAGTCTCCCGAACATCTTTTATACTTCCTGTTACCTAGTTGACCCCTTCTGCCACCACCCCCCACCCCTTTCATTTTAAAGAATGGTGAATAGGTTTGATCAGCATTTATGATCAGCTGCTTTCTTTACACTTGTGATGCCACACTACTCTTGGCCTCAGTGCAGCGAGGCCTCTCAACCCATGCCTGATTTCCTTTCCTGTTAACCTCTTGCTCTCAATATTTTATTTCTTGCAGTAAACATTAATTAAAGCACCTCATTTTGTCCACTCTCCCTGTCCTGAACTCCCATTTGACCTCAATTTCCAATTATTCACTCTGAATCAGTCTCGCTTTGAGGATGTCTCCCTCACTCTGACTGTACAGTTTCATGTCTTTGTAACCTTGAAATCTGACTTGTTCAACACAGTCCTGGTTTGTTGCCCACAAGCTATGCTGCATAAACCTGAATCTACTGGAAGAACCAAAACAGAAATTGTTGGAGAAACTCAGCTGGTCTGACAAAATCTGTAGAGAAAAATTTTTCTTTGTTTTTGTTTATCTTACGGGAAGGAAGTCCTGTTGACCTATTCTCCCTCTGCTTGCTGATCTACATTGGCTTCTGGTCAAGTAGCTCCTTGAATTTAAATTACTAATCCTTGTTTTCAAATTATTCCATTGCTTGAACACTTCCTACCTCTGTAATCTTTTCCAGTCCACAACCCTGTAGAATAACTGCACTCATCTAATTCTGCCCTGTTGAGCTTTCCTGGGTTTTTTAAAATATGTGTTGCTCCATCATTTGTGGCTGTGTCTTTGGTGCCAAGGCCAAAACCCTAGCATTTCATCCCTAAACCTTTCCACTTCTCTACCTTTTTTTTCTTCTCAAAGTTTACAGTTTAAATCTACTTCTTCCATTAAACTTCTGGCCATCTTCCTGAATATCATCTTTAAGAAATTTGGTGCTTAATTTTCCTTGAAAGCTCTTTGGGATGTTTTATTGGATTAAAGGTGCAAAATAAATATGTTGTTATTAAATGCTAGTTAAGAGTTTACTCCAACTTTTGGTTTCCAGACAATATTGTTTACAGCAGTTCACTGCCTCAAAAATAATAGGGCAAAACCAGCCAACAGAATGGAAGCCTTTTTTCAAAACAGATGTTCTCCAAGTAGAAGTTTTAATGCTGTACCAAACAAAAGCAGTTCTTGCAAATAAACTTTAATGATTCCCTAAATGAAATCATTGAAAATTTGGTGGTGTAATTAAATTGCGTTGGTCTTTCGTGGAGATTGGCATGTGTCAAATGCAGCAAGAGTTCTGGATGATGTGGGATCAATCCTCATTGCAACCTGTTTCTTATGAGGATGGAGACCCAATAGAAAAATGGGCCCCAGTTACAAGGCTTGTGTTTTACTTCCAGCTGATGAGAGAAGTGTGGATATCTGTTACTTGCAGAATTTTGTAAAAATGCTTTCTGGCAATGTAACTGAGGGCTGATTAACATATTTTACTTATTTGGTAGGTCAAAAATGTCAGTGTGTTCCGCAAGGTAAAGACTTTGATCACTGAATTGTAACCCTGTGCCTTAGGATGTTTAGATTTCAGCAAAAGGAATGTTCCAATTATTGAGAGTGTGACTTGCATATAAAGTTCTAGTGTCTGTCAAAGTTTGAATAGTGTATGGGTAATGAGAATTTAAACTCTGGGAACATGGAACCCATTGTTTTTGATCCCTGCCACAAACTCAGTTAATTAATCATATGTAGCCCTCACTCACCCTTGCCTTGCATTGACATCAACTCTTGCGATCTCAATGACCTGTTGGCTCCAAGATGAGTTTCTCATCTCATACAGTGTCTCTGTTTTTCTGCCCATCTCAATGCATGCATTTGTTACATCTAAACTCAACTATTCTAACGTGCTCTTGGCTGGCCTCCCATCTTCCATTCTCCGTAAACTTCACCTTCCTCCAAAACTCCAAGTCCTCTTTGGCCATCAACACCATGCTTGGTGACCTACATAATTATCGGTCCCTCAGCACTCACATTAAAATTTCTCATCTTTGTGGCCATTCTCCTTCTGAAGTTTATAAATCTCATACAGCCTTCCAAGAATATTGTTTTTTTTTCCAACTCTGGTCCTTTGTGCATCCTCCACTTGCTTTGCTTTAGTACTGAATTTCAGCCATCCAAGACCTAAGGTCAGGAATTATTTTCCCACACATGTTTATTTCTCTTCAAATCAATAAATATTATGTCAAATAAAATTTTGGTCACTTCTTCAAACATCTCAGTTTTTGGTTTGGTGTGAATTTTCATACCATTACGTTTCTGCAAAACACTTTAGGATGTTTTTTCTATGATGAAAACTCCAATTATCCTAATTATTCTGGATTGTCTCAGAATATTGCTGCTTTAAATCTTGCCCATCTACTTCCAGCAGAGGGTGCTCATGCTATACCAACCACAGCATTGTGATTAAAAATGCGCAGTGGATCTCAGCATAGTCCCTGAAGCACCTTGGGATATATCCCAACATTGTATGATGTTTGTGCAGGTTACAGCCTTAAGGTTGCTATACAACGTGAGATGAACTCTTGCAGTTTATACCTGAGCCATCCTCTGCTTTACAGTGTTATAATTGATGGTACGTTATCGCGAACATTTCATTTTCTAGAAAACTCTCCTACATTTTGGGTCCATAGTAAATGTGTTTTTTTTGTTATCTTGTAGAATCATTACTGTTTGAAGAACTTAATGATTCCACTGATGTTCTTGAGGCTTTGAAAAATCCATTTGTAAGTATTGCATGAATTATGTCTCTCTTTTCAGCAGTGATCTGTTCGTTCACTGTTTGTGTGTTCAGTTGTATTGAAGTTTTTCTATGATATAATTGGTAGACAGAAATTGTTTCTGCTGTTTGGGAGATAAGCAACCAAAAAACACTGACATACATAATGGGCAAAATAACCAGAGTGTAAAATAGTACACTTTACACTTTGAATTATGACGTGAAATGGTAGAAGCAGATTTAACAACTTCAAAAAGAGAATTGGACATCACTTGGGAAGAAGAAATGTGTACAGTAGAAGAGCAGAGGAATTTGGGTCAGGTTGTTGGAGTAAGGGTGTTCGTCTGGCTGGGTCCAAAATGGTCAAGTTATGTCCAGTGGTGTTGCAGGGAACAGGGTGGTGAGTTTAGATGTTATTCAGAATTAGATCAGGTTTCAATTGCTGTAATTTTTCTGAGGTAACTATTAAACTAAGTTGGTCAGAATCCATAAGACCACAAAATAAAGGAGCAGAGTTAGACCATTCAACCCATCAAGTTATTTTGCCATTCGATCATCGCTGATATGTTTCTCAATCTCATTCTCCCACTTTCTCCCTGTAACTCTTGAACCTCTTAATGATCAAGAACCTATCTATCTCTGTCTTAAGTATGTTCGTTGACTTGGCCTCCATGGCCTTCTGTAGCAGAGTCACCACTCTCTAGCTGAAGAAATTCCTCCTGTCTCAGTTCTAAAGGGTTGTTCCTTCATCCTGAGGCTGTACCCCCAGGATCTATTTTTTTCCTACTAGTGGAAATATCTTCTCCACATTCATTGTACCCAGGCATCTCAAGATTCTGTGAGTTTCAATCAGATCCCCCCTCATCCTTCTAAACTTATATGACAAGGGATCGTTCTTGTGAACCTCTAAGGGACCCCCTCCAATACCAGCATATCTTCCCTTAGATACAGGGCCCAGAACTGCCCTCCATATTCCAAATGCAGTCTGAGCAGAGTCTTTTACAGCCTCAGCAGCATAGTCTGCTCTTGTATTCTAGCTCTCATGAAATGAATGTCAACGTTACATTTGCCTTCCTAGTCACGAACTGAACCTGCATGTTAACCCTAAGACAATCCTGAACTTGGACTCCTAAGTCCCTTTGTGCTTCAGATTTCCGAAGCCTTTTCCCATTTAGAAAATACTCTATGACTCTATTCTTCCTACCGAAGTGCACAGCCTCATAATGTGCCACATTCTATCTGCCACCTCTTTGCTCACTCGCCTCACATGTCCAAGTCCAAGGCTGTCCTTCTGCAGCCTCCCCACTTCCTAAATGTTACCTGTCCCTCCACCTGTCTTTGTGTCACCTGCAAACTTCGCAATGTTCCTTCGTCCAGATTGTTAACGTCTAATGTGAATAGTTATTGTGCCAACACTGCCACCTGTGAAGTTCCAGTACTCGCTGGCTGCCATCCTGAAAAAAAACTACTCCTCATGCTTTTCTTTGCCTTCCACCAGTCAGCCAATCCTGTATCCATGCCAATACCTTGCCCGTAACACAATGAGTTCCTATCTTATTTAGCAGCCACCTGTGCAGCATCTTGTCAAAGGCCTTCTGGAAATCCAAATAGATCACATCCACTGGCTCTCCTTTGTCTAACTTGTGCATTATCTCCTCAGAGAATTCCAACAGACTTGTCAGGCATGTCCTCCACTTGTCTGCGCCCTATTTTACTACGAACTCTGCAATCTCATCCTTAATAATGGACTCTCAAATCTCACCATCAACTGAGGTTAGGCTGACTGGCCTATAGTTTCCTGTCTTCTGCCTTCATCCCTCCTTAAACAGGGCTGTTAAATTAGCAACATTCCACTCTTCTGGGATCCTCCCTGGAACCATTGATACTTGAAAGATGACCACCAATGTCTCTACAGTCTCCTTCGCAGTCTCCTTCGCTATCTCCTTCAGAACACTGGGGTGTAGTCCATCCAGTCTGGGTGATTTGTCTGTTGTCAGACTTTTCAGCTTCCCCAGCATCTTCTCCTTAGTGATAGCCACTATGCATACGTCTGCCCCCTGACTTTCTTGAAAGTTTTGGTATGTTGCTGGTTTCTTCCACTGTGAAAACTGATACAAAGTGCCTATTCAGTTCCTCTGACACTTCTTTGCTCTCCATTACTACTTACCTTAGTTTCCAGCAGTCCAATGTCTACTCTTGGTTCTCTCACCTTTTAATTATCTAAAAAAAGCAATCTTTTATTACTAGTTGGCTTACCCTCGTATTTCATCATCTCCCACTTATTACTTTTTTTTTGTTGTCCTCTGCTGACTTTTAAAGGCTTCCTGATTCTTTGGCTTTCCACTCATCTTTGCCACCATATGCTTTTTCTTTTTCTTTTATGCCGTCCCTGACTTCCCTCTTCAGCCATGGTTGCTTCATCCTCCCCTTAGTATGTTTCTTCTTTCTTGGGATGAATTTCTGCTGCGCCTCCTGAATTACTATCAGAAACATCTACCATTGCTACTGTACAGTCTTCCCTGCTGGGCTCACTTTCCAATCAACTTTGACGAACTCCTCTTTCATGTCTTGTAGTTACCTTTATTCCATTGTAATACCATTACATCTAATTCAATCTTCTCACTCTCAAGCTACAGGGTGAGTTCTGTCACATTGTAGTCACTGCTCCCTAGGGATTTCTTCTTCTTAAACTCTCTAATCAAGTCTGCCTCATTACACATCTTTAAATCCAAAATTGCCTGTTCCCGAGTGGGCCGTACCAAAAAACACTATCTCATTGACATTTCATGAATTCCTTTTCTTGAGATCCGCTGCCAATGTGATTTTCCCAGTTCAACTGCATATTGGACACCCCCATGATTATTGTAACAGTATCTTTCTAACATGCCTGTTCTATCTCTGAGTTATTTTCTCCCCCACATCCTGACTACTGCTAGGAGGACTGTACATAACTCCCACCATGGTCTTAAAAACAGAAGCTGCTGGAAAAGCTCAGCAGGTCTGGCAGCATCTGTGAAGAAAAAAATCAGAGTTAATGTTTCGGGTCTGGTGACCCTTCCTCAGACCCCATCAAGATCTTTTTCCCTTTGCAGTTCCTCAACTTTACCGATATAAATTCCTACGCCTTTTGCCTCTATGTCACTTCTTACTGTCAATTTTAATTTCATTTCTTTTTCGCAAGGCAGTGCCGCTCCCTCTGCCCATTTGCCTGTCCTTTTGATAGGAGGTGAATCCTTGAATATTTAGTTCCCAGCCCTGATCCCCTTGCAGCTATGCCTCTGTGATACCCACAACATTGTACCTGTCAATTTCAGTCTATGCTACAAGCTCACTTGCCTTGTTTTGTACATTGCGTGCATTCAAATACGACATTCTCAGTCCTCTGTTGACTGCCCCCCTTCTATCTGCTGTGCCTGGTTAGATTCCTCACCTTTTCTGTACTCTCTTTCCTGTTGCTTATTCTGGAAACTTTAACCTCTGCTGAGCACACACCGCACATGTACACACACCTCTGACCCACCCCACCCCCTTTAACTCTCTCCACAACTTTCCATACAACCGAAGCCCCCACCCTTCAGTTTAAAGCCCTATCCGCAGCCCTAGTCATGCAATAACTGCATAATTCTCTGAAGTCTCTGACTTTAACTCAATCGTGGACATTTTTTGGAAGATTCTCAATGCTGAGTAATTTCCCATTGGAAATTTAAAGTTCACAGGCAATTCCTACAGAGACAGCTGCATTGGGAATTCCATGTGGTCCTGCTGAAATGACTGTTCTCCCACGGGAAGTTCTAGCCCCATGTCTCTGAGGTGTATATCATAGATGACAAAATCTAGCACCTGAGCATTCATTTCAGAAGATTCAAGTTCAGCTTTTATTTGTGTTGACACATCCTTTATTTTGATAAAGCCAGTCTTGGCTATCTTATTTCTCCTTTGGATCTCACAATCATATCTATCATCTGTGCTAATCTGCCCATGTTCTGTGAATCTATTCATCCATTCCAGGACTTGTCTACTTTTCATTTCTGGCATTAGAACTTTGATTATTAACATTGTCTGTTACTTTTCATGTTCATCCTTAATCCATATTCCTCATTTATTCCAAATAATTTCCTCTTCTACCGCTTCTGAGTTTGCAATCAATGCAGTATAATCTGTATGCCTCAAGTTTTGGCAATCAATTTTCTATGTCTGTGAAGGTAGCGTCAGTGCACAGATTGAACATATTCTTGGTGCACTCCTTTTTTGATCGAGAAGCTATCTGACAAGAGGCTACCAGGTTTTACCACTGTTGATTGCTAACCAAAATGAAAGAAGGAAGATAAATTGAGGGTAAATTTGCAAATAATATCATGCAGTCAAAAAGGGCTCCTTTAAATATATAAAAAGGAAGAGAAAAGCCAAAATGAGCATAGAACATAGAACACGGAACAGTACAGCACAGTACAGGCCCTTCAGCCCATGATGTTGTGCCGACCTATTATCCTACTCAAAGATCAAACTACCCTGCATACCCTTCACTTTACTATCATCCACGTGCCTATCCAAGAGTCGCTTAAATGTACCTAATGTATCTGACTCCACTACCACCGCCGGCAGTGCATTCTATGCACCCACCACTCTCTGTGTAAAGAACCTACCTCTGACATCTTCCCTATACCTTCCTGCAATCACCTTAAAATAATGACTCCTCGTAATAGTTAATTCCACCCTGGCAAAAAGTCTCTGGCTATCCACTCCATCTATGCCTTTCATCATCTTGTACACCTCTATCAAGTCACCTCTCATCCTTCTTCGCTCCAATGAGAAAAGCCCTAGCTCCCTCAACCTTTCCTCAAGACCTGCCCTCCAGTCCAGGCAGCATCCTGATAAATCTCCTCTCCACCCTCTCTAAACTTCCATGTCCTTCCTATAATGAGGTGACCAGAACTGAACACAATATTCCAAGTGCGGTCTAACTGGGTTTTATAGAGCTGCAACATAACCTTGCAGCTCTTAAACTCA